CGCTCGAATCAAAACATAAAGAGAATACTACTGAAAAGGTGCTTTGCAGTTTAAAATAATTTGCTATTCAAAGAACAAATTGCGTTGTAAGAACTGAATATTGCCTTTTAAATGTCATATTCTAATTTCAGTTTTTTACATATTAGAAATTACTTACAGGGCAAAATGGTTAGCACTAACACGCAGTCAAATCAGTCTGAGATGCAGGAAGAATGCACGAGAAGTCTCAACTCCGAGAAGGCTACTGAAAAAAAACAGTTTCAGTGTCCTGTTTGTGAGAGAGAATTTCTGCACAAAGGTCATATGAATAGACATTTAAGAATTCACGCTGAAGAAAAGCCTTTTCAGTGCAGTATTTGTGTAAAAAAATTTTCTAGAATAGAAAATATGAGAAAGCACGAAAAAATTCATTCGGAGGAAACAGCTTACCAGTGCTTAGTGTGCAAGAAGAATTTTTCTCGGTCGCATGATTTGAAGATTCATGTAAGAAGTCATACAGGAGACAAGCCTTATTTGTGCAGCATTTGTGCAAAGAAATTTTCTATAATGGGTAATTTGAGAAATCACATAAGAATCCATTTGGAGGAAAAACCTTACCACTGCCATGTGTGTAACAAGAATTTTACTCGGTCAAATAATTTGAAGCTTCACTTAGCAACTCATGCAGAAGAAAGGCCTTATCAGTGCAGTATTTGCGCAAAAAGATTTCGTTCGATGAAGAGTATGCGAAGCCACGAAAAAATCCATTCGGAGGAAAGAGCTTACCACTGCCTGGTGTGCAAGAAGAATTTTTCTCGGTCGCATGATTTGAAGATTCATGTCAGATGTCATACAGGAGAAAAGCCTTATCAGTGCAGTATATGTGGAAAGAAATTTGCAAGACTATGTGATATGGAAAAGCACAAAGGAAAGAACCACGGAAACACACGGAAAGAACCACCCAGGAATGAACCATATCACCGTAATGTGTATCCACGCATTTTATCAAGTAATCTAACGGATACAGACAAATTGATATGGGAAATAATAGAATTGGCTGGGTTATAATCGTGCAGACTCAGCTCTAAGTTGTATTCTGTGTTAATATGCTTGTTTTGTATCTATTTATCTCTTTTGTAGTTTAAGCATAAACACTTTGAGACATTATGAACTATGCGCTTACTTACAATGATATTTAATCCAAACATAATCTTGAAGAAACAATCAAATACACTCAATATGCAACAAATTTGATATCTTATCTCATGTTGCTCACCGCAGGTTAAAAAAAAAAAGCAAATCTTTAGAACTGTAGCGGACTGACAACACACCCAAACCTTTGCAAATAAATTGTAGAAATTCTCTTTCAGATTTCACTTTAATTTCAAAATATTGCACACAAACATAAAAGACACACGCATAGAGTAGAAACATGCAGATGTACGCAGCAAATATACACACAGGGACTACTCACAAATATGTAACTAATTACGAGCAAAAGCCTACACCTACATTTACACGCCCATTCAAATTTCTAAGAAATCTCAACGTGTGCATATAAACGTTAGGCAAACTGATAATTTTTATGGCAGTTGCAAATTTGCTTTTTGCACTCAAATAGTTCCTTTCCAAATAGTTTTCTGTTCAAAAGCAAATAACAGTAGTGTAAAAAATGAGCAATTTTCCGCTTCTGTGCATACATTTATTTAATTATTTGCTTATGAGTAATGCACGTTTATAACAAAATGCAGTAGTGAAGTCAAACTTCGGATAAAAGATCAAGCCTTTCGGTTTCTTTTTGAATGTGAAGTCCTTTTTTTCCAAATCTAAATTCTATTGATCACATATTACTAGCATGCTGCTACTACAGTCATAATAATACCGTTGAATTAATTATTATTATTTTATGTACTTATTTATTAGCTATGAGGTAATCGTGGACGATAGACTGTGCCTGATCTTGGAAGAAACGCATCATAGTTATTTCTAGCTTTTATTCTTTTATCTGTTCTACTGTCATTTGTTATGGCAATGTTATGCTGCGTATATGGAAGTGAATGGCGAGAATACCAGTGCAATCAATTGCAACAATAAACGTGATGGTATCAAGAGTCCAACACGCCAGAACGGTTGAAATGATAGTAATACGAGAGAACATTCCAACATTCGAATACATCAGTTATCTAGTGCCTGGAAACGAGTCTCTGAAGGACCTTCCACATCACAAGCCACTTCCAAGAAGGAAAAAGAAGTATTGGACCATGACGATAATGCTCACGCAACTCTTTGTTACAGTACTTCTGAAGCAACGAAGACGAAACAAAGAAAGTAAGTGAAGAAGAAAGGTAAGCATGGCATGAATAGAGAGGAAGAAAAGACTAAAACCCAAAAGAAGAATGTTATGCTATGCTCCTTGATTACCTCAAATTAGTTATCCCAATTAATATCTTTGAAAACAATCAGTTTCCATCAAAATAGAAGACAAAAACAATAATATTGCTTGATGACCTGGATAGGATAGTGATGAACTTCCATAAATTTTACGCGAAGCAAATCGGTGTATTTGATCACGTCAAGGCGTGTATCTAATAGTGCTCAAGAAGGTGTTCGAAAGCATCTTATTTGATCAGCTTTATACCGGACACGGACGAAGCGCCAGGAATCAGCACAGCAAAACTGAGCGCGGGGCAAATGCAACGAGAATGCCAGAATATGATTCAGCGTCAGAATCAGTAATACAGAAAAAAAGATTAACCTCCGTGTGATATTGGTTCGATTTGATTTATTAGCTATCAACAGTAATAATAAGGATATGGAAGTAATATTAATACCAGCTAAAACTTTAACTTTCTTGTAGAATATTACTTTTCGTGAGATCTGAAAGCTATTTTGATGACACTTTTAAGCAACGATGAAAAACGACAAGTTTTTCAATCTTCTCGTAACTATATAAATATTTAAATTTGATGTAATACGTTGTACAATGATAATTACGATTTTTTTCAGTTTCAAATCAACTTGAAAATTTTTGTGTATGAAGCATTGAAGGTTATAGCAGTATGCTTCAGAAGAGTAATGAGCCTTCATAAATGTGCAATAATTTTTTAAAAGAATTCTCTAGAAATAAATTTAAAAAAACTTAGCTTCTTTAACGTATTTACAGAATATACTGCATAATTTTTGCATCGATGAGGCTCGAAGAAGAAGCGAATCTTCTCAACCACCAAACTGTAGTCATTGTACCATTTCAGCAGTTGTCCTCTTTTCGATTACACACTTTACAGAATCTAGTCGACTTCATATATTTGCAAGACACCGCACCATAGATTTGACATCAAATGATGGATAGGAATAATATTTTATTGATGAGATTGAACAGAAAATGATTTTTGTTGCAAACTGAGACTGATAAATATTTCAGAGGACTGTTCATTCCTCTATTCAAACAAATCTCTGAGGCATTTTTGAGAATATTTTGGTTGTGCCAAGTTTATTCGTTGCAGCAAGCAAGCTGAGTTATACTGGTGACAAAGACAAGGGCGCAAAAATGAGTTTAAAAAAGTTAAATTTGAAAGCATTAATTATTTCAGAGCTTTTCTAGTCTTTGAGTGAGCCGTTTAGTGTCAGCGTTCATGAAAGCTAAACGGGATTAAAAATGCGCGACCAAAAATGTATTCGAGCAAAAGCAAGAAATTGTCTCATACATTATGCATAAGTTTTCATTTTATGCGTACTGATTTGAGACTTTGCAGAACAGAAATGCAATAAAAAATTTTTGTAAGATAATTTAATGAATAGAAGTTATTCTTATTTTAGGCACAAGTAATAATATGGATGGGTCAAGGAAAAATATTTTTGGCATGTTTTGCAAGGATAATTAATTAAATGAAAGATTATGAATTTTGATAATACCCATGTTAATAAATAATGATAGATAATAAAGGTTAGACCAAAAATGAAGTTCTATTAATTATGCTAAGAAGTTTACACTTATGATTGACATCATTCTTTACTTTTTTTTCACAATTCTTTGTGGAATTATCTGTTAGCTTTAATTTCACACTCGGAATTACAACTGTTATTAATCGAATTAGTAATTATTTTTTTAAAATTGCTACAGATCCAACTTTGGTTTTAAATTATAATCACTCTATACTTTTTTTTAAGTTTTGCTAATAACATGAAATATTAATCCTTATTTACAATTAGTTTTAAATTTGATTTGATACATCTATTAAGTTTTCTTTCTTAAGTTACTTATGTACTGTTTCAAGTAGTACATTTCAGCTCGAAAATATTTCCAGTTTTAATGCTAAATCATTTATTATTTCAGAAATCAAATTTTTAATTCAAAATGCATTCTCTTTGTAATTTTTTACTGTCACATCACTTTTAAATATCTTATTAATTACTAAATCTAATGGATAATTAAATTGAAAGGAAGAAGGATTCCGTGTTTAATTATCATTAGTTTTCATAAATAAATAAATAAATAAATAAATAAATAAATAAATCTTACATGCATGAAATTAATATAATTTTTACTTCATTTCCTTTTTGCTGAGGGTTCTTTGACAATATTGAACAGACAGTAATAAATTCAAAGTTATACCATTAAACCTATTTAAACTTGGGAGATAATTAAGATATCGTAATAATTATATTTACATAAATTCAAAATTGCAGTGATTTTGAGCATTTTTACGATAAACTAAGAATCTCTTAAATTTAAAATCCCGCAGGTTTAAAGTTCAAAAAAATACACTTTATAGTCAAAAAATTTAATGTATCCTACGTGGCTCTAATGTGATGCGAAGTTACGTAGAATGTACTGAACTTTTAACGCAAAATTGTTTCACTTTTTAGGAAATGAAACAATCATGCAATTAATTTTCCTGTAAGGTTATAATTTAGATATGACACATTATTTACTTACATGTATTCAGACTGTAATTCTTGAATACAGTATGATAAGCAATGAATTTATTTTTTGATTTGATGCAGACTACTTTTCAAATTTTCATATATAACTTCATATTGTCTATATAGGATTAAATATAATACAGACTTATCAGAAATTTTTGTTACAAATCACATAGAATATAAGCAGTTCAAAGCGATTTATTTTAAATCAAATCAGTTCTTACAACTAATACTATCTACAGTTTCAATAGCATTTTGATTTTCGTTTCATTGTTGCTGTTGATAGTTCAATATTGCCAAAATTGTAAGTCATTCCTTGATAACTTTTAGGGACATTGTATCGATCCGTATACAAACATCTCTGCAAAAACCGTAATTGTTATCTCATATATTTTCATGATTAACTGTTCAAAGAAAACTACTGTAATTTAAGAATTTAATATAAAGGTGATTGAAAAAGTTTTTTACAATTGTTGAATAACAATTGTTCATCAAGTAAGATTACGGTACTCTTTGAATCAGAAAAATTTTTTATAGTTTCCAAAAAGTTTAAAACAAAATAAACAAAGCAAAAGAAAGTTAGAAGTGGTCAATTTCTTTTTTTGAAATTATTAACTAAACACTTTATTACTTACTTTTTTATTTATAAAATTCCTATTTTATGAAGGAATTAATTAACTCACGACATCATGATGACCACTGTTGCAGCTGTGTTTTATTGTAATGTATGGCTCAATATTTCGAATCTCTCTTGTTTCACCAAACAAGTGGAAATGTCCAGTACTGTTCGTATGTGTTGAATCCAACTTATCGTCAAAATTAACTATTTACAAACAATAAAGACTCAATGATAAATTTGTGTTACTACTTCACTTGATTGATTTTAGATTTGTTTATTGGATGTCATAATTTTTTTTTGGTTCAGTAACTACAGTTTCATAACTATTGTAGAAAATTCCAAAAAAAAAGAGATAGATTTTTTAAGTAAAATTAAAGGAAAAATAATCTTACGTAAATCATCTTCCCATAATGTAACCGTAACACCACTGTATCCCTTTTCTCCGCAGTCAATATGACCAATTACTGTAATATTCTTTTTGCTACCAAATAATCCAGCGACATAAGTAGGCAGTATAAATAGGACAATTAGTAAGTATGTCATTTAGACTGATCTAAAATAAGCTGCCCAATTTTTTTAAACTTTTATCACTATTAATTCCTCATCAAATTTTATTCTTCTACAAATGATTTCATTATTTTTTTGCTATACATACGGTATTTTTGCACAAATATTATATATATATATATAAGTAATAATTGTACTCACTTAAATCGATTAAAAGTAAAAAGGAGATATCAGATATCATTTATATCATTATAGTAGCAAACAATTTTGAGGTTAAAGCAAGATAATAATTGAATAAATTGTTTCATTTTAATGTAACAAAACAATTAATTACTCTATTTAATTATCAGCTTTTGTGCTAGCTAACTAATACGTATGTATTCTTAATCAAATTTTCAATAAACAATGAATTATGAGATAGTAAAAAACTGTCTGCATAAAATTTTTTTAGTGTGATTTATCTCGATCATATGATTTGCAATATCGTAGCTATGATAAAGCTTATCACTTAACCATCATAATAACACAGATTCATCATTGAACTATTATTATAATATGAGCTGATCATTCATCCACTTTGCATGTTATCATCATCAAAATGATAATGTATGTAACTGAATGCTAGCTACATTTGAGCAAAAAATTATTTTTTAATGTAAGAAACTCACCCAAACAACTACTTTCTTCAACGGTTAAATGTGTAATATTTTTCTTAACAACAACTGAAACATTTTTAAAAGTTGTTATTACTTTTGCACTAATCTTCATCGTTGTTAGTTTGTTGTTAGTCATGTTTGTTAGACTTACTGAAATAAATTTTTTTTTAAATCTTCAGCACATTTTGTTTTTGTCTTCAATTTTTTGTTTTTCTCTAATTGTAATCTAATTTTATTTGCAATCAGTTATTATCAATAATATCAACTATTCAAAATTGTTAAGAATTGTCATTTCTGAAGTAATTGGTAAAAAAATTTATATATTTGGCAAACATTTTTTCGTACTTTATTTATTAATTCTGTAACCGTAATTATTGCAAATTTTCGATCATAATATATGTACAAAAATACCATAATATTTATACAAAAATATAAAATAATTAACAAAATTTTTTGATAAAAGTGATTAGAATGATATTTAATAGATTTATCAAATGTAGAAACACAAGGATAACGCTAGATATTGCTTTTAACAATTGTTTTTGGGGTCTATTTTGCAACGTAAAATGATTTCAATCACATAAAATTTGTTAATCTTTATGAAAACTAAAACTGTTCAAATTACTGAAAATATAATCGGAAAAACAAAAAATAACACACTGATTGAACTGCGGGATTAAAATTTATATTGATTATAAATTTTCAAGTTATATGTGAATTGAAACTGAGAACGAATTTTTT